TTATACTTAACATCAGGCAGAGGCAGCTGAAGTTTCTGGGACACGTAATAAGGAAGGAGGGCTTGGAGAATCTGAGACTCACGGGTCGAATTGAAGGAGAGACAAGGGAAAACAACGCATGGCATACCGAGCGAGATTAGGCAAGTGGATGACAGAACGTGGTCTGGGGTAGGTAGCCGAGGGAAGGAACATGTTGAGAGCTGCAAGGGATAGAGGAAGAGGTGGAGAGCCATGATCGCTTACGTCCTGAAAGGACATGCCACATAAAAAGAAAAATCCCATATTCTTAATGTAATTTTTTCTAATCATTCCACACAATATTTTGTACATTATATATATATATATATATATATATATATATATATATATATATATATATATATATATATATAACATCTTGTAATGTAAGCAAAGAGTCTGTTGAGATTGGGGGGAATTACCTAACTGATTGCTCTCCCAACAACTGTGGGAATAATAGTGAGAGAGGGAAAGAGACGGATGCAACAAAAATTACAGTGCCTCAGAAACCGCACCAACACGAGGAACGAAATGCCCATGAGACCGACTTCATAAGACATCGTGTCTTGCCGACTGCTGTTTTTTCCTAGTTTTTATTGGCATGAAGCATGTTACAAAAACCCGGGTCTTGACCAGTTGCAGATAGGCCCATATCTAGCTAAACATGTCAACCTGTCCCGTTACTAACGAAAAAACCCGGATATAACTGGTGCTGACAAAAATGTCCGCATGCGATCAGTGGCCTCTTTTGCGTCTGTACTGACGCGTGTTCGCCCCAGTATCCGTCGGTCTCGAAAGACCATGGTTCTACACCTAAAAAATTATGCCTCAGCTGCTGATGGAGGCGCAGCATCAGTGCCGGCTGTAGAGACCCACACAACAGTCGTGATTGCAACCAATACATTTTTAAGACGCTATCGCCCGATATCTGTCTGTTATTTTCTTTTCTTCGATCCCGAATGAGAGAAAAAAATACCTGAGGCTTGCCGCCAGAGTTCACTCCGACGGAAAGACTCAGTTTTTTCTCTCATAGTCCCAGCCTTCGGCGTAAATCAAGCCTCCAGCGGGATAGATTGCTGGCGACGTCTTCCCACCTCTCGATATCTATGTCCATCGCCTTCAGGTCACTTTTTAAAACGTCCATGAAGAAAGGATGAGGTCGTCTGCTTACCCTTTATCCAGTAGTCAGTTCCCAATCACATCAGTAGACTGTTGTTTCCCGTGTTTTGCCGTCACGGCGAGGCGAAGCTAGAGTCTCCTCATCAGAGTCAAGTTTTTATGAGAGACTGGCTGTTGCTGATGCAGCACATCTCTCCTCTCGACGTCACAAGGAAAGGCTTCAGGTGTAAACCCTGGATGGATATATATATATATATATATATATATATATATATATATATATATGTGTGTGTGTGTGTGTAAATATAATATATATATTATACATATATATATGTAAATATAATATTAGTAATATATGTAAATATATATACACACACACACACACACACACCCACACACACACACACACACATATATATATATATATATATATATATATATAAACATACATTCATACACATACATATACATATAAAAAGTTTCCAAGATGATAGAATCCAGGTAGAACTCAATGTCCAGGACAGAGTAAGGATATAATAAAAAGGCTTAAACACTAATATTCCATGGTTATAATTTATTACATTGGAATCGTAGTTACGATCCGATTCATCAGACCTACGAATTCAAAAAGAAATCATAATATATACAAAATCTGATATACAAAATCAGATATACAAAATGTGGTAGTTTTGCTGCTAGTATATAATATAAAAAAAACAAAAAAAAAAACATCAAGTTAGCTTCCGTTGCCTGACACAAGAGGTTTATGGAAACAGAATGTACCATACAACAAGCAGAAACTGTGCATCGTCGTTATGGGTTGCGTGCAACCAATGGAGCCCAAGATGTTTTCTGATGTCTTTAAATAAAACCTATAGAATTATGATAATTTATAGGCACTATATATATATATATATATATATATATATATATATGCATCAAATCTTGATTCAAGTAAGTTTCCTTAAATAATATAGATATATTATGTCTATTTATTTTTATAAAATTCTTTCTAGTTCTCTAAATATCTTCATGATGTTAAGTTGAATTTCTTCAAGGAAGGCGCCGTATGTCTTGTTAACCCAAGTACTTTCGATCTCCTTCGAGATCATTCTCAGGAGTGAACTGCGAAGACAAACTTAAAGTAATTGTAATCATTGTGATTGTGATTTTTCTAAGCAGTGAAAGTGCTAAGTGTGAACGTGCTGTTATAATTTTGTTAAAAAATAGCCATTGTGGCTACAATGTTTTGTAAACAAGCGTTCACAATAAAGGGGCAGTAACCGGAGATGGTAAAATGCAACATGGAGTTAAATGATAGTAAACTCAAATGCATATAAAAACGTTGCTACTACACTCGTAATAAATTTTCTTCAATTTTGTTTGGTTGCTTTGATATAGAGGGCCACGAGAATTTGAAGTTTATTATTTTCATGGTATAATATATTGGTGTTGCCAACAAGTATATTTCTGTATTGTTAAGGTAGACAGGAATGTTTCTTTAAATGTTGTGCGATAGAATTATCAGTTAAATGGAGTGTAAAACGTCTTGATAATATATATCATTTAATTAAACATTTGAATATATATATATATATATATATATATATATATATATATATATATATATATATAATATATATATATATATATATATATATATATATATATATATATATATATATATATATATATCTGTGTGTGTGGTATGTGTTGTATTTCTATGGCAGTACCTTTTTTCAGCAAAAGTTTGTGAAAGCCATTATGAAACATAGAACATAAAGAAGTCTTTCTTAGAAATAGTACTATATCTTTTAAATTATGGAAGATTCCCAGAATGTGTTGACAGAGATGGATTATATGCGTCTGGAATCATAGCATTTTTGGTTTTCTAATATTAAAGGACTCCCATAAAAACTTTATTTTTTCTGCTATGTGCCGTCCTCCTACAGGATGTGAAAGTTTTTGGCGCTCCACAACTTTCTATTCTTTGTAGCTCTCAGTAAGATTTAGCATTTTTAAACACCCCCTCTCTCTTTCTCTGTCTGTCTTTCTGTCTCAATATATATATATATATATATATATATATATATATATATATATGTGTGTGTGTGTGTGTGTGTGTGTGTGTGTGTGTGTGTGTGTGTGTGTGATGATTAAATATGGCTGGCAAGGAAGATGTAATTAATTTTTAGGAAGTTTATTCCAGCATCCTAACATTTGAAAATAAAAAATTAATTAATTAATTCTTAAGCAGACCGTGAATCATTTTCTCTTGCCCTTTGTCTTTTTTTAATTTAACTTACTTCATTTTTCTAATCTATTTTGCTATTTTCATCCATATTAATTTTTCTCTTGTTTTTTCTTCATTGTTGTGGTTTATTCTTGCTATTTTCCCATCTTTTTGGTAAAACACGGGAGGACCTAATCAACTCTGAATTGGTTAAGCTTCTCACATTGGAGGACCTTCTTTCAGACAAGCAACATGGTTTTGCTTCTCTGGGTCAACTGCTGAATGACTAAGTATTATTTCTAAAGGAGTCTCTTCAGATAAGCATGTTGAAGTATAGGCTGTTGTTTGGGCATCTCAAAAGCCTTTGACAGCTTTTAGCATATCGATATTTTACATAAGTTGAAAACCTAGAGTATTTTTGGTCGAATTTTTAACTGATTCAGTCTTATATCATCCAAAAATGTAAGTTTTCCTGAATGGTCACTCTACTAGATATTTTGTACTAATGCAGGTGTTTCCCAGGGCTCTGTCCTTGAAATTTTTTCCCTAATTTTCATTAATGACCTTCCTGATGACATCAGCTCTCAACTTAATATCTTTGCTGATGACACAACCATTTATCACTGTCTCCATAACAAGTTTAATCAATTCGATGAGGTAAAATTGGAGCTGATCTAAAAAGTGATCTTCAATTTGTTGTTAATTGGACTAAGAAATGACTTGATAATTTTTACGCCTCCAAAACGAAACTTCTCACTATTATTCACCCGAAAGACCCCCTTCTTGCTTTTTATCAGCATGGCAGATGCTAACCTTCAAGAGAGTAACTCATTGCGACTTCTCGATCTAACATTCTCGACTGACATGAAATGGAAAGACTATATTGAATCCATTGCTAGATCAACTGCTAAGAAAGTCAGTTCATTGTGTTACGCTAAACATTTTTTCTCTCCAGAATCTATCTATGCATATTTATAAGTCTACCATTCGTTCATACTTTGAATATTGCTACCACAATTAGTCCAGCGCCCCTGTTGTATATTTAGAGATTCTTGATAAAACCCAAAAAAGAATCAGTAATATTATTGGTCCTAACCTAGCTTCTGTCACTTTCACACCACCGTAATGTAGATCCCCTGTGACTTTTCTAAAAATACTTTCATGGTAATCGTTTGAATGAACTCTTCGCTATGGGACATAAACTTTATGAATTTAGGCGCAGTAGTAGCCTTCCAACATTTATAGCTGAAATGACTAGATGTAACCGTAAGTTCTATGCTAATATTTTCTTCTATCGCACTTTTCGTTTGTGGAAGTCTCTTCCATCTACATGCTTTCCAGCCAACTATGATCTTCAAAAAGTTAAATGCAATGTCAATCGTTAACTGCTGTCCTCTTGATTACTCTTCTATTGTTCTCACTCCTTAATAATGTTTCTTTTTTTTTCCTATTCTTTTTCACGCAGTAGCCCCTTGTGTCTTAGTGGCCTTGTATAGGGTGACATGATTAAAAAAAATCTTTAACTTTTATCTTTTTTTCTTATTTTTATATATTTATTTGTTTTATATCTCTACTTTTAGTACAAGTTTTCGCTTTTTAAAAAATGGCTTCTCTTTCTAGTATTTCATAGTCTTTCTCTTTTATTTTTCTTTAATCCTTTCTCTTTCTTTTCTTTAATCCTTTCTCTATCGTTTTCTATTTCTTATTATCATTTCCTGATTTCTTTCTTTCTTTCTTTCTTCTTCATTATTATTATTATTTCATTCATTAGCTTATTTTCTTTTTCTTTTTTTCTATTTTGACTCTTCATTGATTTTCTCTATTTTCTTTTTTTCATTTATTGACAATGTCAGAATTCTTAAGGATTATCAACTTTAGTAAAGGATTTTTCATCAGTTCGTCATAATTACTCAGTAAAAATTCAAATAAATAGAAAAAAGTTTTCGGCTCGAAATATTGATAGCTTTTGCATGACATGACATACCTTCATTAAATTATCGGAATTAAAAATAATGATTATTTTTAAGTGCGACATAAACTGCGCGTATCGCATAATTTTCTGACTTTTATTAAATTATTAGCCTGATCTCTGTAGTGTAATCAGGTAATATAATTTTGTCAATTTAACCATTAGTAGGTTGTACCATCAGACGAATAAAGGTCGATGTTCGGTATAAAAATAAATAATCACATCAGAAATATTTCACTGAGACATTTGTTTTAATTTCAAAGATGAAGTATTGACAATAATTATTAATTTATCTACTAATATTTCTTTTAGTCTCAATTTAAATTTTTATTGAAACTCTCATTCATTGTACTTTATTACTGCGTCACGTTGCTTATAAACGGACGTAGAATGTTGGCCTGTGAGTTACAATGTTTTTGTTAGCAATACCGACAAACTCCTCAGTAGGTTATAGGTCCACGGCCTCACATGTTACTGCTGGGATTACTTTAACAAAAAGGGTTTCTAAAGGGTGCAGTTGTCAATCGCAAAATTAACCGGTTTCGAAACCTGAGTTGTCCTTGTCCTTGAGATTTAGTCAATTAGAGAACCATTTTTACCTTCTCTCAGTATGGCTGATGTCCACCTCCAGGAGATCAACTCGTTACACCTTTTCGGTTGCACGTTTTCTACTGGCATAAAGCTGAGTGATTATCTTGAATCAATTGCTAGTTCTACTGCTAGGAAAGTTGGTTTAATGTGTCGTGAACAGACAATTTTTTCGCCATCTTACATGTTTATAAATCTAACATTCATTCGTACACTGAATATTGCTGCCACATCTTTTCCTATGCTCCTGCTATATATCACGAGATTATTAACAAAATCCAATGAAGGGTCTGTAATGTTATCGGTCTTGACCTGGCATCTCAACCTTACTCACTTTCCCAACGTAGTTTCCTTGTGTCTTTTCTATAAATATTTTCATGACTATTGTTCTAATGCTCTTTCCTCTTTGGGAACTTGACCATAGGTATTTAAGTGTAGTAATAGACTGTCTAATAGATATCATTCTACTGTCGAAATAGTTAGGTGTAAGTTCTATTCTAGTAGTGTCTTCTCTAGTACTTTTTCACCTGTTGAAATTTCTTCCGGTTTCTTAAATTCCTATCAACTACGACCTTCAAAAATTTAAATGCAATGTCAATCGCCATCTTTTGTCTTATTGAAACCTGTTCCTTTATTGTTTTTTTCTTTTCACTAACGTTTTTTCATTTTCTTTCCCCTTCAGTAAATCCATTCTTCTTAATCAGCTGGTTTGGGATGCAATGTTTTTAAAAAATAAGCAAACGTCGGAAATTAATCTGGAGTATCTTCTTGGACGGGCTGAGAACTTTTTAACAGCTCGTCGAACGAAGAATTAAAAAAAATCCAAATTAGGTTTCGTTTTTTTTTAATTTCAAACTTTGACAGGTTTGTCGTTCTACTGTCTGTATTTGTTTGTTTATCTATTTATTAGACGTTGTCAAATTTATTTCCTGACCTCTATGAAATTATGAAAACTGAACTTACTAAGCAGTTTAAAATTCTTAGCACGTTTACTCCATATGATATCGACGTGTCTTGAATATTCCAGTTGGCATTTCTTTTTTCCTGTTTTAAGATGTGCCTTAAAAATTGACATTTATCTGTAGAGTAATCAATTTATTAAATAACTCGCAGTTCTCTTTTTAGGACAAGTTAATTTCATTTGGCATTTAAATTTTATTTTAACGAGTAAATTTATTTAAATTATTCTGGATAACACAAATCTCTGACACATTAATTTACAACCACTACACGACTGAGCTGAAAATTATTTAACAGTAAGTAACGGAAAATGTTGATTCTAAAATTTACACCCACTGCTCGATTAAGGAGAAAATTACTTCACGGGAATTAAAAATAAAATGTTGATACCAAAACTTACACCCACTAATCAATTAAGGAGTGAATTAATGAACAGTAAGTAAGAGGCAATTTTGATATGAAAATTTAAATCAGTGACTCGACTGTGTTGCAAAAGATTGCACAGCAAATAAAAACAAATTTTCCAAATGGTTACCTATCGGATATATAAATGATTTAGCGAGAAAGTAATCTAATCAAAAAGTCTGTCGCCTAATAATTATTTTTCAACATAATCTCTTTCTCTGTCAGTGGGCTTCATTCTGCGATGAATATTAATCAGATTGATTAAACTTTTAAACATTATAGAAAGAAAATTTCAGATCAAAAGCTAATTACATGTCACCTTACGGATTTATTGGTCTACATTCTTTTGAGGGGGACTTGTTAAACTTTAAAATGTGGAAGTTAATCTTTCTTAGACACAGCCAATTTTCAAAGAAAACTGTATTTTCCGAGCAGGAAACTGGTTTGTTTGTGAGGCCAGAGCGATCGCTCTTATCTCGACTGTTCGAGAAATAAGTATTTTCGGAACTAGATCAATTTAAATTCAAATCAGTTTATCTCAAGCCCTCGTTAAAAAAAAAAAAAAAAACACCTCTGACCCATCGCTTGTGAGAATAACACGTTAGCTACTTACATTCCCCAGTGCTTGTGATTGGTCTAATAATGCATCGCCAATATGCCTACACACGAAATATACAAATTTAGTCGGATAACAAAGAAACGTGCTGAGAGAGCGATCAGTTAAAAAGTGTTGGGCAGATTTGTTGATGGGTGATCTCGGATAAAGAACCCCTCCCTATTGACTCTTGAAATCATATGCAAGGTCGAAGCTGGAAGAGGCCGCACCGTGAATTTGGGACCAAAGGTGCACTGTGGCATGATGGATGATGGAAAGGGTAGTCTGAGATTTTCAAAGTGTAGAAGCTTTGAAGAAGCGCAGAGGGGGAAAAAAAGAGACATTCGTAAACCAATCACGTTAATCAAATCACACGCTGAATCATTCGGTTAGCGTCCGGTCAGTGACCTGAGTAAATGATTCGAACGACAGCAAACTCACTCCCTTCTACACTACCCAACTATCTCATTTACATGGCGCAGGTTTTTCTCTTATTAAGACGTACAACGACTGATGAAATCTTTGAAATACACCCACCCTATGTCTGACAGTCCCACTCCAGTATCCTATCCTCTTATGGTTACTTAGAAGGCAATTGGATAAAAAGTTAAATAATATAACCCACTTGAGCAAAAGCCTTGCCTTTTGTGTATTTAAAGTAATCCGACGAAGAAAAGGTTGAAAGAAACCAGAGCGAAAGAAACTTGTATATTTAACCCCCCAAAAAAAAAAAACTCATTCACTATTCGAGTGAGCTGCAAATTATTTAACAGTAAATAAAATATAGTTTTGACAGCAAAACGTATATTGACTGAGTTTAAAATTATTGCATAGTAATTAAAAGACAATTTTGATAGCAATATTTACACCCACTACACGATTGAGCTGCAAATTATTGCAAATAAGATAAAGGACTATTTTGAGGGGCTCATGGCGAATCCCTCAATATAGTCAAGATAAAATCTAAGCTCTGACTCTCAAAGACAACGGCTCCAGATGAAAGATTTTTTATTACATCTGGAGCGATAAAGACGTGTCGCCTGAAAACATAAAGATATATAAAGAGTGATAACGTATCATCTGACAACAACATCGCATTTGAAAGTAAAACCAGATGTTAAAACTGATAATAAAATCGGATATAATATATAGGTGCGGCACTCCATGTAAAACAGATTTCAAAACAGACAGCAATAGGCGTTATCTTTGGAAATGACTACATATGTATCCTTTGAGAGAATTCCGTTACATTTAACAAAGGAAAATGACACCAAATACAAAAAATGACAAGGAGGAACTCTGGTTTTACAATGATGCCGATTGGGGCTGAGGCATTCCCATTAGAATGTTATGGTGTAGTACGAGACATTTTATTAAAAGCATTTCAGTAACTAGGTAATGATTAATATATGGAACTATGTTGATCCTGAAGTCAACATTGAAGTTTCCGGCTACGGCCTCACCACGTTCGGTATTGGTTTAGCTTCCGAATAAAGTAGATTTTTACGGAGTGTTGTTGCTAGAGGAAACGGCTTGAAATTCAGATTTTTCATTTCACTAGATGGGTTGCCAACCATTTCTAGAGAGCTCAGTCTGTCCTGCTCGGGAAAGAAGATATGGATTTAGAATTTTCCAGGGATATTTGTGCGACATTTGCATAGACACACGTCAATACGACTCTATATGGCGATAGCCGCTACATTACGTGTACACTAAGATAAAATCTGATTTTAATCACATATTTGGTGCTCAAAGATATATATATATATATTATTTAATATTGAACATTTTATTGTTTTTGTTTTAATAATAATAATAATAATATATATATAATATATATATATATATATATATATATATATATATATATATATATACAGTAATCCGTTGGTATATAATCCAAGTGAATCCTGTTAGCACAATATAAAATGTTCACTATTAAATATTTAAACTAATTCAGACATAGAACTCAATGTTTTATAATAATTTAAAAAAAAAATTCCTGTAAATTTAATTTTACAAGGTGAAAATGATCATTTACATAATGTTATCTTAATTCGATTGTATGATATATGCCTCATATATATATATATATATATATATATATATATGTGTGTGTGTGTGTGTGTGTGTGTGTGTGTGTGTGTGTGTGTGTGTATGTGTGTGTGTGTGTGTGTGTGTGTGTGATATGCCTCTTATATATATATATATATATATATATATATATATATATATATATATATATATATATATATATATATTATATAAATATTTTCTGTAGTTCA